AACGCAGTTACATGTATTTAAACATTTCTCTAGTACTTCTTGATACTTCCCTTGCATAGGCGACATAAACTATAGTACAAAGCAAGAAATCTATGCTGCTGCTGTGTGCCTTCAAACAGTTTTTTACTTATGGCAAATCTATCACATGGTTTTCTGGTGTTGAGAGTGCGTGATTCGCCCAAGGTCACCCAGGGACTTTCCATGGCTGAGTGGGGAATTGAACCCTGATTTCCAAAGTCATAATCCAATGCTCAAACCACTGCACCACACTGGTTCAAGAACTCTATCAATATAGCCCTTTATGAAAGCACTCAAAATATAGTATGTGTGACAAATTATTAACATACTCATATTGCACCCATCTGGCCTGAGTTCCCCAAGAAAGGCTAACAACCTTCATAAAATAATAAAGTAACAAATGTAGTGCTCCATGTTCAGAACTGGGAATATTGGACCAGTAGAGTTATAGATGTTAGTGAGTAGGCAGTGAAACAACCTGAAGAAAGACATAATTTGCTCTGACTAAAGACATACATTCTTGTACTTTTTGTCTATGAGATCTGTACTATAAAGTTCTTGTATCTTTAGGCCCTACAACACAGCTTTTCAAATGCATTTGAGAGTAATGTTCAGGTTATAAATATGCCTGGAAATAAGCCTTGATTATCTTGCAGTAGCTGAAACTTCAACTCAAGCCATGTAAGCCATCAACAGAACATTTGTGGCCATTGCTTTTGGCACTTTCCTGTGTACAGAACAAGAATGACATATGTTAACTCCTCCCTTGTCTGGGAAAAAGGAAGTAGCAGATAGGACTAAAATCACTCCCACGAACAGAGATTTCAGGGGAAGGGTGGAATTTGGCAAGATTATTTTGTTTAAGTGCAGTGGTAAGTGGAAGGTTTACTGGATTTACTGATGGTCACTCCCACTACTGTAGAAATATCTTAAGCTTCAAGGAATTCTGCCTATAAATTCTAAAGAATTAGGAATGTACGATTTAAACATCCTAGTGTTTAAAAGCTATCAATCATTCTGGAAGAGATATTTTCATCAATTAAAGAAAAATAGCAAATTACCTGATCATGTAGCATTTTTAGTAATGAATATATTATCTGTCTGTCCTTGGCGTTATGAAAACAGATTTAAAAACTTGTTTTAGCATACATATGCTAGCATGTTGATAAGTACATCATTTTCTAATTATAAAGCCAACTTTTCACTTCTGCAGATCAGCACAGAAAACTAATATACTGCTTGTCATTTATTAGAGCTTGATGGAAATATTCCAAGTAAAATATAAAAACATCAAGTCATGCAAATTTATTCCCAAGAAGTTCAGAATTCTGTTAGCTATACAAGGTATGCCCAATTACCAAATATGTATTTTTGTTTATATCGATTCCACTCAGTGTCCCTCATTAATTTTATCCTGCCAAGAATCCCATGAGACAGAGCAGGCAATGTGATTAAAATAAAATATGTCAATATCACACTACCTGTACATGAATCCTTTGTGTGACCAAATCTGCAATACTGGAAAAGGTGCAGATAAGGGCAAGCAAAACTACTAAAGGACTGGAGGAATTCCCATATAGGGAAGGTTAAAACATCTGGGGAAGTAAGGGGAGATAGGAGAAGGTTCCTAAAATTAGGCAAGGTGTAGAAGAAGTGGATAGGAAGAAGTTTCAATCTCCCCCCCCCCCACTCAATAATATTAGAACCAAAGGTCATCCGTTGAACCTGAACATTGGCAGATACAGGGAAAAATAAAAGAAAGTACTAATTCACATGGCACATAGTTAAATTGCAGAAATCACCAGCAAAAGGTGTAGTGATGGCCATCATCTCAACTTTAAATAGGGCTCACATAAAATAATGGACAATAGGGATTCTAATCAAGATGGATATGTGTACATTCATACGTTTTCTCATTATCTCTGGAACTATTCCTCAGTATATCAGTTGCTAGGAAAATGTGAACGGTGGTTGATGTTGCATTAATGTCCTGCATGTGGGCTTTCTATAGACAATTGGTTGGCAACTGTTGTAAACAAAACATTGGACTAGGTAGGTCTTGTGTTTTTATGGTTAACACAAGAGACTTGATCTCAGGGATTTGATCCTGAGTCACCAAAGTAATAGTCTAACTCAGTGGTGTTCTAACCAGGGGTAGATATGCTGCCTTCGAGATATTTCAGGACCATAACTCCTAGAACTTTCCATCAGTGGCCATGGTAGCTAGGGCTGATAGAACTTGTGCTTCAACATCAGCTGGAGCACTGCATTTCATTCACCCCTATTCTAACTGCTATACACTGTACATAAATCGTGCCCCTGATTTTTAAAGCTATTAGTGGAACTTCTCTTAATAACAAAATGGCACTTTTTACTGTGAGTTTATAAGCAGTTGCACACCCACACTCACAAAACAATCATTCTCATACTTCTCAGAGGAGATGCAATTACATTTAACTGGTTTATATTGGGATAGATAAACTTTCAGGGCTAAACTCAACTGATACTGGAACAAACCCACGAATCTATGCTGATGATGTGCTCAGAGGGGAAAGCAAAGTCCGAAGCTGCACAACACAAATTATAGGAACATGGAATGTGAGAAGCATGAATCAGGGGAAGCTAGATATAGCAAAAAAAGAAAGAAGAAAAAAAGAAAAAGAAAAAAAGGATTATATAAACATTGCAATACTTGAGGTGAACAAGCTAAAGTGGACAGGAATTGTACATTTTGAGTCAGATGATTACAGTGTTTAACTCAGTAAATGAAAATCTAAGAAGAAATGCAGTGTCATTAATACTAAGGAGAAATGTAGGAAAAGCAGTCAAAGGACACAATGCAAAGTATGGCTGAATAATATCAATGAGTCCTCAAGGAAAACCCATAAATATAACCATCATTCAAGTTTATGCTCTGACTACAGAGGCAGATGAAGAAGAAATTGAAAGATTCTATATGCTGGAATCCAGGAGGAAACTGACAACACCAAAACAGGCCTTCCTAATCATAGGTGATTGGAATGAAAAAGTAGGAAACAGAGCACAATAAAAGATTGTATTAAAAATAAGTCTAGGATCAAGAACTGAATTAGGACAGTGACTGATTGAATTTTGCAAGGCCAACAGTTTCTTCACTGCAAACATATTTTTTCAAGGCAACTGTATACATGGGTATCACCTCATGGCCAATATTGAAATCAAATAGGCTTCCATTGTCCTTTACTTTCTCTATTTCCTGTGTCTTTTTTATAAAAACAAAACAAAACTGGGAGCCTTGTGGGACAGGGTCCTGTCAAACCTCTTCTTTAAAAAATAAAAATAAAAAAAAATAAACCAACCCAAAAACAAATATAAAAATGGTATATTGTGAGAATTATACAACCAGTGACAGGCAATGTCGGGGGAAAGCCTCCACATCCCATCTTCTGAAGGCATAAAGAACACAATTTACTATACAAGTTAGGAGGTGTAGGGGAGGGGAAAGCTCTTATATCTCCACATGCACCAAACAATTGATTATTTGTGATAGCGAAGGGAAGCAAAAAATATTTCACCTCCCACTTCCTTGCGAATTCCCTCTTGTTCACAGTTAAAGTTCTGCACAGGTATGTAAACCTCAATCCTAGTTATGAAGAAATATGTGCAAGATGGTGCAGAGTAAAGTATCTGTAAGGCATGTTAGCCCTACTCAGGTGTTCAAGTTCCCTGCATCATTAGAACTGCGAGTGGGAGAGCAGAGTTGTGTACACAAGCCCCACCCTTCTTTTGCATTCCTGTTGAAGAACAAGCATCTACACTAGGAAGACTGCTATATTCAAGTATGCTCCCTCATCATTTAGAAGATATCATCTGCAGAAAGAGAACCACCTTCCCAATGCAGCTGTTCACACACACAGTAGTGAGGCAAGCAAACACAGGGCTAGCATGCACACACCTGAAGCCAGCACATCAATTCCTTCTCTCCCTCACATGATTCCAATAGCATGGGGGAACTGAGCATCTGAATTGGGCTATAGTTCACAGAATGCTATTGAGCAATTCATGAAGAAGAGACACCAAACCTTGATTTTGCCATTTTATATAAGGGATGCCATTTTACTACACCATGGTTTATAATAAGACATGAACATTCATAGATCTTGGTATCCTGGAGGGTTCTAGAACCAAACCCTAGTGGATATCAAGGGCCCAATGTAAATGAACAACTATTTTCCAATTAGCCAAAGATTCTGCACCTACGTTACCATATCTACATGGAATGCTATTCTACAGACATTATCTGCCAGAATACTAACCTGCAGTGCAAAGAAACACACAACAGTTGCAGATAAGCAGCAAAGCAGGACAGCACTGTACTATGAAGGACAAAGAAGACAAGTGGGAGCTGTAATTCAGGCTTCATCCTTGAAAAATATAAATACATGAAAAGAAGGCCAGGCTTGTAAACAACTACTTAACTTTCAGATAAGGTCTGCTCCAGCCAGGGAAGCTTTTCTTATATATATATTCAAGCACATAAACATCTTGAATTTGGTATGAGAGCAAGGAGGAAAAGAAACCCAAGATCTTTGGAATTACTTGTAAGGCCGCAGAAGGATTCTTGTCCCTGAAGTCTTAAACTTCCATTTACTATACAATTTATTCTCTTGGAATCCATATTCCTGTATGACTTCTCTCAAAACATAAATAGAATCAGATACTATGAACAGAAAAACCTTTGTTTTAAATGAATGTTTGCTTAAGTATCTTTGTATTCCAAGCTATAGCCCTGTTGTTGTTGTATGCCTTCAAGTAGTTTCTTTCTATTCTAAGCTACAGCCCTGCTGTTGTTGTATGCCTTCAAGTCTTTTCCAACTTATGGTGGCCCTAAGGTGAACTTATCATGGGGTTTTCTTGGCAAGATTGGTTCAGAGGAGGTTTGCCATTGCGTTCTCCTGAGGCTGAGAGCATGTGACTTGCCCAAGGTCACCCAGTACGTTTCATGGCAGAACTGGGAATCGAACCCTAGCCTCCAGAATCATAGTCCAACACTCAAACCATTATACCACGCTTGCTTTCTGCTTGGTCACATCTTAAAAATGTAAGAGCCACATCTGATTCAAGGCCTACATAGTCCAGATTTCTGTTCACAAGGTTGCCATCAACCAAGAAGGCGACCAAGTATGAACAATATCTCCCCTGCTTCACAAGAACTGATATACAGAGGCATGCAGCCTCTGGAACTGGAGGGAATATATACATCATAGAATTATAGAACTGTAAGGGCTGATCTATCCCAATAGAACAGAAATAGAGGTGACATCTTTGTATGGTATTAAGATCCCCTTTAGGCTACACACACACATATCATACATACACAAACACACACATATGTGGTAACTATGTATCTTATGAGAATTTTCTAACATATTTCTAAATACTTAACATTATGGCTTTTCACATTTCAAAAGTGACTAATATAAGAAACTATAACAGTGTTCAGAGATATATTTAATTATATAACAACAAAGATAGGAATCAAAGCAGTGTTTTATTAACTGCTGGTTTCAGAACTGCTTCTAACATTTGAATTATAACTATCATACTTTAAAATATATGCAATAGCTAGTAAATTTGACAGTAATTGCCACAGAAGCTAGTATCAGTGGGCAGTAGTCCTATAGCTTTGATCTGGTAGAAATGACACAAGCAGTGGCATGCTACAATTGTTTTCAAAATACAATCCTATTCTTGTTGTTATTGTTTGCCTTCCAAGTCTATTCTTATCGAGATGGAAAAACATTTCAACATTACTAAATGCTCACTCCAGCACCCTACCAAAAAGTGCTAGCTCTTCAAAAAAGTAACATTACTGTCAGAATCATGAACACCAGTAATATTCCAAATGTTCAAGCAACCAACCATCATAAGCAGATTGGATTGAGTTTGAGTAGGGGTAGCCCTCAGCTGTACATATTCCCTCTCCCCCAACAGAAGTGAAGGAGCAAGAAAGAGGAATAGAAAGCTCAATGTATTTAATGAACTCCTAAAAGTGTTGGAGTCAGCTCATCTTTGATGCAGTAAACCTTGTTCTTAAGAGCTCGAAAACTCAAGTTGTCCCCAACTTTGAAATTTCTCCAAAGAAATGCCCACATAAGAGGGAGTTGTAAAAATTTAAGTATCACCTTTACAAAAATTTGACAGAAAGTTTGTTTTGATTTGTAGTTGTTAACTTATCTCTATGTAGTCACCATCCAGATTAACACATTTTCCCCAGTGTTTCCTGACCCTCCGAATACCGTTATTGTAGAAGTCTGTAGATTGTGCCTTAAACCACACTTCCACTTCATGAATGATGTCATCTATGTTGTCAAATTGGCCACCTTGCGACAGATTTTTTTATTTTTGGCAAAAGAAAAAGTCGCTTGGTGATGATGACACTGACAAAATTTCATCAATATATAATAACTTCTGGGTGATACTACTTTATGATACCCCCTCATAAGCTGCCTCCTAAATTTCATTTGTCACAGGTGTGGGTAATCTTTGCTCTAGACCAGGGGCAGGCAACCTTTCCCCCTTAAGGGCCGAGGGACTTCAGCTCCCAGAATCCCAGGAGCTATTGGCCAACATGGGACTATTGGCCAACATGGCTGAGACTTCTGGGAGCTGAAGTCCCTCAGCCCTTAAAGGGGAAAGGTTGCCTACCCCTGCTCTAGACTGTATACACAAAATATAATGGGAGCAGAGGCACTGTGCGCATGAGGAGGATGAGAAAATTGTGCTGGGGCATTCTCCCCTTCCCACAGTGGCTTGGCTTCAGCAGGCAGGAAGAACCACCAGGCACTGCAACACTGCCTCTTCCATTTTTTTTCTAGTGTGAAAGGGCCACCACTAGAAAGCCTGCTGCCATTTTCCTCCCTCTTTCATGTGGAAAGGAGAGACAGAAGAGACACCATGACCCACTGCCTCTCCTGGCATAGCAGGAACATTGGTTGGCTGCAGTTATGCATGCCAGACTAATGGGGAAGGGGGTATAAGGTGTATGTAACATTCAAAAGCATCCATAATGGCTGCTCCAAAAAAAAAAGTTTTTTCTTGAATGGAAGCAATAGCTGTCCATAATGATTGTCAGAGGTCCAATTGTACATCTTGCCACTGCATAGTGACCTGGCTATTGTTTTATGCCTACTAAGAACTGTTGGAGAAAGTTCTGAATAAATAACAACTCAAGGGAAGAGCTTGCTTTGGTTAAACAAAAAAAAAAAATTCTTCCCACTTGTAGCAGGCATGAACGTGTAACTTAAGTACAGTTATTTTTCATCTTCACCATGTGCCACCACTGTGATTTAAAGACCAGCTTATCTTTTCTATCAGGGTCCTAAAAACAAGGAAATACCACATACCTTGCAGTATTACAACCAGTGTTGCATAACTACTCACATTTTACAATTACAAGAGTTGGCTAAATGAAATGATATATTGCAAGCCTACTCCTAATTTTGTCAGGAGGACTTAGAGAAAAGAGCTAAAACATGCATCATTGCAAACCTTCCTAAGCCAGAAAAGTGGGAAGGTGTTCAAATCTCTGTTGGTGGTGAGCTAGCCAGCAGGACTAGAAATGTGAAAGCTGCACATTTATTTGTGAATAATTTGGAGGGGGGGGGAATAATTTGACACAGTTTCTTCCCAGCCATAGGAATCTTGAAGACTAATGCCATCTCAAGCTATCTGATGTGGACATTTTTTATCTTAATGTGCCAGGGACTGCTACCATATATGTGCCCATTGCCCATTGACTACAACTGCTTATTTCTTTCCTGAAAATTTGCAATGGCTCAGGGATCATCACTGACACAGAGACCACTGTTTAGAATACAACTGTTGCAGACCATAAATAGGATAAATTTTCAAAAAAGAAAACCACATTTGATACTCATCTCCTTTGCATACCTCAACAGAACTTGATCATTATAGCAAAACAGAGTCACAAACAGCATATGGTGAAAAAAATAGCATATATTAAAGTATAACTGCAAACAGATAAAAGAAGTGATTGGTTTTCAGCAGGGGTAGGCAACCTAAGGCCTGGGGGGGGGTGAGGCCTTTGGACCGGCCCCAGGCCGGTCCTGCCACCCCCCGCCACCACCGCCCCCCGCCATGATGATATTGATTATTGTTGTTATTACTTGTTCTTGGGTTTTTCTTGGCAAAATCTCCACAGGGGTTTTGCCATGGCTTTTCTGGGGCTGAGAGAGTGTGCATGCATATATTTTTATTTTTTTTAATTTTAATTTTAATTTTAATTAATTAATTTATGGTGCTTTGCCCCCCCCCCCCAATTGTCTGAGGGACAGCAGCCCGGCCCCCAGCTCAAAAAGGTTGCCTACCCCTGGTCTTGAGGCTTCTGATCACACAAAGATATTGAAGAGTGAACAATCTTGCTGCATATTCCCCAGTTCCTTTCACTATGGGGTGGGGGTGGGAGGTTATCCCAAGTGACCAGCTTTGTATCTACCCTGTCCTCTCAGCTTTCCATCAGGACTTTGATATCATCCAGTAAGTTTATTCTTACATTCTTTTTCATCAGTACATTTTTGTCGCACCCATAAAGCTACTCAGGAGGAGAAAACAAAAACAGAGCCTGTTATGAGCAAAGGATTTTAGAGGACAACATTTATAAGAGCAAACTACCTTTCTGCTGACAAGTTAAGAATTTGTGCTGCACAAGAAGAACTATTTTCTTTGGCATTGTTTCCATTATATAACATTATGAGGCCACCTGGGATGAGACAAACATAAATTAGGAATGAATTTAATTAGAGAAAGATACTCTCCCTTCTATGCTTAGAAACTAAGAATTTTTGTTAACACTAGACCTATTCTCCCACATTCAGGAAAAATCTGGCAGTACTTCATATTTAAATAGTTCAGTGCGAGGTGGTCAATCAATTATCATGCTCTCTACTAGCCAATAGTAAGTTTATACAAGAAACTGTTACTTGAGCAGGTAGTGACTGAGGCAAGGCCTTCAAAAACAAATCCCTGAATTGTCATTGAAAGAGATTTTTTTTCCAAAGTGATCCGGTCTCTTACTTTTGGTTACAAAGGGAACTATAACTGAAAAGGAACCACATTGATTTTTTTCAAGTTTCGATTGTAATGAAGTTTACTGATGTTGCAGCAGAAGATGCAAAAAACTGTGAGGAACTGTGAGCAGAGTAATGACTGCAGTGGGGCTCATCAGAAGGTGGGCTGTGAAACCAGGCCATGTAGGCCTTTCTGAACCTTTTGTTGTTCTTGTTAACTGCCTTCATGCTGATCTCAACCCATGGCAACTCTATAGATGAGACATATCCAGGGCCCCCTGTCCTCTGCTGCTCTGCCCAGCTCCTGCAAACTCATATTCATGGTCTCTTTAATAAAGTCCATCCATCTAGGATGTGGCCTTCCTCTCTTTCTACTTCCCTCCACCTTTCCTAATATTATTGTCTTTTCCAATGATTCATGCCTTCTCATGATGTGTCCAAAGTACAACAGTCTAAGTCTTATCATCTTGGCTTCCAGGGAGGTTTCTGGCTTGATCTGCTCTAGGACCCATTTGTTAGTCCTTTTGTCTGTCCATAGAATTCTCAGCATTCTTCTCCAGAACCACATTATCTCAAACGTATTGATTTTCCTCCTCTCTTCTTTCTTGACTGCCCAGCTCTCACATCCATACATGGTAATAGGGAATACAATGGCTTGTATGATTCTGACTTTTCTGCTGAATTGTATGTCTTTGCATTTCAGAATCTTTTCTGGTTCTTTCATAGCCATTCTCCCCATTCTTAATATTCTTCTGATTTCCTGGCTGCAGTCCCCAATTCTATCAATGTTGATCCCAGGTAAGGGAATTCTTTTACTATTGCTATTTCTTTATTGTCTAGTTGGAATGTGTGTAAGTTCTCTGTGGTCATTATTTTTGTTTTCTTTATGTTCAACAGTAAGCCTGCCTTTGCACTTTCTTCTTTGACCTTCCTTAGTATTTATTCCAGGTTTGTGTGGTTCTCTGCTAGTATTATGGTGTCATCAG